CATTGCAACTGGAAAAACCAGAGCCTTGACTCTACGCACTTTTGTTGGCAGGGTGATGTCTCTGTTTTTTAGTATGCTGTCTAGATTTGCCATAGCTTTCCTCCCCAGGAGCAAAGCCTCTTTTAATTTCTTGGCTGCAGTCCTCATCTGTGGTGATCTTGGAGCCCAGGAAAATAAAATCTGTCACTACCTCCATTTCTTCCCCATCTATTTGCCAGGAATTGAGAGGGCCGGATGCCATGATCTTTCTCTTAATGTTGAGTTTCAAGCCAACTTTTACACTCTCCGTCTTCGCCCGCATTGAGGCTCTTTAGTCCCTCTTCACTTTCTGCCATTACAGTGGTATCATCTGCATATCTGAGGTTGTTGATATTTCTCCCGGCAATCTTAATGCCAACTTTTGATTTGTCTAGCCCTGCCTTTCTCATGATGTGCTCTGCATGTAAGTTAAATAGGCAGGAAGAAAGATACAGCCTTGCAAGACTCCTTTCCCAATTATGAACCAATCAGTGGTTCCCTGTCCGGTTCTCACTGTTGCTTCTTGACCCACATATAGGTTTCTCAAGAGACAAATAAGATAGCCTGATACTCCCACCTCTAACTTGCCACAATTTGCCAAAACCAAAGGCTTTAGCGTAGTCAATGAAGCAGAAGTAGATGTTTTTCTGGGAGTCCCTAGCTTTCTCCATGATCCAGCCTATGTTGGCGATTTGGATCTAGTTTCTCTGCCTCTACGAACATTCATATATCTCTATTTTAAGTTGGCTGTATAACATCATTGTATATGTCCCCCTCTCTCTATATTACCTTATATTGTATACAGCTATGTGCATGTATGTAAATATCATAGCTCACACATATAAAAATAATGGCCAGGATGAAACTCTAGCAATAAATAAAGATCAATGGCATTTTGCAACGCATCTGGAAAATATCGGTGGGTTAAAGCTCAGTTGCACCCCCTGCCGGTCAATGCCAGCCACAACAGCCCCCTTGCCTCAATGAGGACAGGCCCCTTGGAACTCGCAGCACTTCCTGTTCCCGCTTACCATGCTGAAGCGGCTCCTGGCTGGCCCAAGCTGCGGCCACTTTCTCCTTCAAGGCCGGCTCCTTCAGGGCGGCAGAGAACTCCACGCAAATCTGCCGCTTTACGCGCTTCTTCGCGGCCGATCCCGGCAGGGCCGGCCGCCGCTTCGGCTTCCCGTTCATGCTTATCCTTGGGGGCACGTGCTCCAGCCGGAGAAACTACGACTCCCGACAGGCCCCGCCGGAGGACGTCACATCGAGGGGGGGGGGTCTAAAAGGTCGACTTGTCCAATCATCGCGACGGGAGCTGGTAAAGCTTTTGCAGCGATGCCTCGAGACTTCCTGTGAAAGGGAACGGAAGTCCCACCTACCGCCCGCCAAATAAACAAACATCCGTCGAATTCGCATGGACGTTCATTGTGAGAGCTGTCCCGCCCTAGCGGCAGGGGATCTCCTTTTCCCGGTCGGCAGTTCGTCCGTTCGAATCCCTAGTACAGGTCTCCTGCGTTAGCAGGTTACTGGACTAGATGACCTCCAAGGTCCCTTCCAACTCCGCTATTGTTTACTGTCATGATAGTTTATGGTCGTACGAGTGGCATTTAGAACCAGCAGCATTTCCAGGCGCCTTCAGGCACCCAATCGGCTGAAGCTCGTCACTCCGCTCCTTATTGGCCAAACCTCTCCACTGCCATTAACGACGCAGGGACGCTCTTTTGGATCCCGCCTCTCTATGGCAGTCAGCGCTTACTGACGGGCGAGGCGGCTCAGCTCCCCCTCTCCGTCCTCCGCGGACTCTATGGCTCCCGGAAGTGCGGCCTGCAGGTTCCGGTGCCCCCATTGGCGGGTGTGGAGAAGAGCGCGGCGTGAGGGACGGCGCCTTGGCCGGGGAATGCTGGTGGCCTTGTGAGCCCGGCCCACTTTCCGCCATGTCCGTCGTGCCGCCCAACCGCTCCCAGACCGGCTGGCCCCGCGGGGTCAACCAGTTCGGGAACAAATACATCCAGCAAAGCAAGCCCCTCACCCTCGAGCGGACCATCAACCTGTGAGTGGGCGCCGGGCTCGGGCACACTTCGTTCCCGGGGAGGGGTTGGAGCCGGTTGGGGGCCCATTTTAAGGCCCGGGCGTATCGTGTGAAACCACTAATACGGGTCGAGTCGGGTGTTCTAACGGCTCGACTCCCTGGGGAGCAAAGGCTTCTGCCCCTCTTTCCCCCCTCGCTCTGCCCGAGGGCGAATTGATTCCTCTGGCGATCCAGGGGCTCCTTTTTGGGAAGCCCACCTCGTGGTCCTCTCAGGGCCCCTTTTCTTGTCCCACCCGCAGGGAGTTTGTCCCCCGAACGGGCAGCCTTGTTATTATTCCCTGGTGGTCTCCCATCCAGGAAGAGGATGGGACTCTCTTCAGAAGGACTAAAAGGTGCTGTTTTTCCCCCCAGGAGGCCACTGGACTTAATTTGTTTTTGTTTTCCTTTTGAAGACGTTTCTTTTCCAAGAAGCTTCTTCCACTCTGACTGGAAGGATTTATATTCTGATGACCCTGAGGACACAGTTAAACCTCCCAAGTGCTTCAAGGACCTTCTAAAACAGTGGTTCTCAACTTTCCCAATGCCACAACCCTTTAATACAGTTCCTCATGTTGTGGTGACCCTCAACCATAAAATTGGTGTCTTGGTTCCTAAGACCACTGAAAATATGTGCTTTCCATGGTCTTAGGCGACCCCTGTGAAAGGGTCGTTTGACCCCCAAAGGGGTCCCGACCCACAGGTTGAGAACCACTGCTCTAAAAGGATGCAAATGAATGGAAGGTTTCTTACTCCTTGCAGACAGCTGGTCACTTGCATCCTTTTAGAGCATTGTTGAGGCCACTTGGAGCCAAGGTGGCGCAGTGGTTAAATGCAGCACTGCAGGCTACTTCAGCTGACTGCAGTTCTGCAGTTCGGCTGTTCAAATCTCACCGGCTCA